ACTGCAGCCGGCGGGGGCCGGCAGGCGGGAGGCAGCCACTGGGCACAAGCCTTGATCGCTGATTTGAAAGGCAGAGCTCTGTTGGCACATCTTCCATGGGGAGTGCCCAGAGTGGCCCCTGAGTATGCCGTGTCCTTTGATAACAGCTCCTCTGAGGCTTTTCAGCTGCTCTAGTGAGTTCCGTGAAGTACAGCCCCAGCAGAAAGACACTTGCTCACGCCACCTCTGCCAGCTCCCCCTGCTTAGCACCGCTGCTGTGAGGTTGTTGGAGTGAGCCAGGACCTGACACGCAGTGGGTCTGGTTCCGTCCAGAGTGTTCGCTTATCGTATCTCACTTAGAAAGAGGGGGGCGGTCAGGCAGACTGTGGAGTCCCTGGGTATTGCAAACGGTTAAACACTCAACCACTAGCCCGAAAGGTAGGTCACAGCCTTGAAAACCCTGTGGAGCACAGTTCTACTCTGCACACATGGGGTCCCCGTGAGTCGGAATCGACTCGATGGCAGTTAATGACAACGAATGCAAGGAGTACTAGAGTATTTTCTTAAAAGTTTTTCTATAGTTCTGATCCACGCAGCTCCCATGAAGTAAAGCCCCCCCGGAAACCCCCGTCTTTTCCAGTTCATTTTAGGGAACTTCCATCGGGTGCCGGAAAAGCAGTGTATGGGTGCTAGGAATGTGGCTTGCGGAAGCTGCATGCCTGGATATGAATTTTGGCGCGCCTGTGTGGACTGTAGCGTGACTTCTCTGCGCCTCATGTCCTGGTCTGTCAGATGGAGCTCGTGCGCATGGCTACCTCATGGAGGGACAGGCGGGCTCTGTGTGTGGAGTGGTAGTGGCCGCCCATGGTGACCTCCGTCCCTGTCAGCTGTGGCACGATGCGCTGGCACTGCAGACGCCAGTGGGCCTGCCCGTCCATGTGCGGTCAGTGCTGGGGACAGTGGCACCCCAGGAAGGGCCGTGCTAGCTGGGGTGGGAATGGATTCCAGGAAGGGGTCCTAGAGGAGAAGGTGCGGAGCCCAGGTGTAAGGGGAGTTAGGTAGACAAAGGGAAGGCTCAGAAAGGGTGTTCTCAGCGAGAACAGCACAGTGTCTGCAGGGACAGGACAGGTCACCTCCTACTGCTAGAATGAGGGAGTGACCAGTAGGTTCCTTAATTTGCTTATTCCTGCATCCAGACCTTCACGGAGCATCTGTGAGGTATCAGGCTGGGGACCTGATGTAGGCAGGAACAAAGCCCTGTGCATAGAGGCTCCTTAGACCGCGGCCTCGTCAGGCTTATTCACTGGCGGTGGGGAGACAGCTGCTTGTAACATCCACAGAGCCACACTGCTGGGTGCACACCTGGCCCCACCTAGCCACTGGGCACCTTGCAGGCGTGGGCCTCAGGTACCATATTGCGGGTGGTGGTGGCAGTGGTGCCCATTCAGGGTTGCTGTGAGGTTGGGTGGGCTCTGCAGTGTGGCCGGAACCGAGCCTGCACACACTCCTGCTGAGGACGTATGAGGACATTGTGAGGGGCGGGGACAGCTCTCATGCCTGCCTTTTCTTCCTAGCCAAGCCCACATGCCATCACTCCTGTACAGTGTTCCTGCCTCGTGGAACCTTGTCCTGGCCCCCAGACAAGCTCTGTTCTGCCCTCCTGGTATGCCGTGCCTCTCCAGCGTACAGTCCTCATGCCTGGACCTGCTTCTTCCCCTCTAGAGTGACTGTAACCCCCATGCTGGTGAAGTGTCTTCTGGGGTGACCTTTTGTCTGCAGCACGTGGCTGCTGCTCTCTAGATACAATGAGCGAATGAATGAAAATTAAAGGTCACTTAGGAAGCACACTCTTTTCCGGATTTGGTTGTATGGCTAACGGTTTGGTATTCCAGGCGCTCTGAGCACATGATGGTTTTCTCTATACTGGGAAGGCAGCTGGGTGGCCAAGATGATTGCTGTGTGTAGAGCAACTAGGAGTGCTTGTTGTGGTTGCATGTTCTGGAATGAGAGTCACGGTGGTTCCCAGGAACTCCTCAGAGGGCCTCTGAAGCTGGCTTACGCTGCAGATGTGCACTAGAGACAGCATGTCATAATGCTCATTTTGTTCATTTCAGCTTTCTTACCCAGCTGCATCCCAGTAAATTGTCAAAACCTTCCCCCAGTAAAAACCACAAACCAGTCAACCTTTAGCAAACAGGTTAGAAAGCTAGAAATGCCCCCCAGGTGTTTGCAACATTTTTTTTTTAAGATCCTTAAAAAACCTTTGTGATTCAAAAGGCAGCTTCCTGTGCCGGGAGCCTCTCTCCAGCGCGCTTGCTTCTGAGGCTGGTCGCTTTCAGAAAGACTGCAATGCAGCGGTTACCAAAGTCCCCGGGACTGTGGAAACAGCCCGTTCAGGAGCCTTCTACTCCCCTCCACGGCTGCTGACTGTTGCCTGCAGTTTGCAGAAGGAGATAATGAAGGCAGGACTCACCGGACCTAGCGGTCCAGTGATGAGAACGTAAGCGGTTTTCGACAACGCTGGGGCTGACCCAGGCATGTCCTGCAGCAGCTCGGCTAAGTTCCCGGTGCAGTGGGCTTCCCGGGAACGGGAAATGGAAGGTACCCTTGCAGCTCGTGCACGCTAATTTTGTTTTCCTTTCTGTGTTCAGATGGTGGATGGTAAGAAGGTAAGGGACTTTGAGAATCACATGTAGGCTGTATTGTACATGTTAATGAGTATCCCTAGTGAAGGTGAGGAGTATGATGGATGGATCGCTTCTGAACCTGGGAAATAAAACTTTCATTTCTTGTTGGTGACAATTTTGACATTTGAAAAATCATCCTATTCAGTGTTGACAAATGCCCTCTAAATAAATTTGCAAAAATGTTCTTTAAAGAGGTCTGCTTTTCCCGTGACTTGCTAAACATAGTCGCATTTCAGAGATGTAGATATGGACATGCTGTGTTTGTTCCTTTAACTTAAGAAATGACAGTTTTGTCCGTTGGGCATGGGAGCATCTTGTTTTACAAAATGTCAGCCCTGTGGCGGTGAGTGATGAAGATGATTTCTTTAGTTTTTATTTTGCCTTCATACGGGCGATTTTGGACATGTGGAGGTCTGCGCCTGTTTGTGTGGTGAGCTGAATACAACCTCCAGCTGTTCTGCTTTGTTTCTCTAAGTGTGAAGCCAAGAGCCAGAACTCGGATTTATTTTGCTATGTATCAGCAGCCCCAGACCATGTTAAATGCATTATGGGTGGTAATTTATATGTCCAGTGCCAAGAAATGGAATGTCATGGTTACCATGGCAACTGAATGCATTCTTAAAGCTTGTGAATGGGCTCTGAACCTTCTGGTGTTTGAGTGAGATTTTCCAGCTGAGAGCCTGCATTCACAAGGAGTGTAGGTTAAGCCTGCATCCCACGTGAAGCACATTCTTTCTCGCCTTTACTAAAGCTTGTCCATTCAGCTCAGCTCTTTCTCTGGTGACATCTGCCTGAATATTTGGGGAACAGGCCTGTGTGTGAGATCCTGACACCTGGTCGGGGGTGCGGTGTAGACCGGGGGCAGGGGGGGGGTGGCATGTCAAGGCCTCCTGAGGCTGCAAGATGGCTGCAGCCCACCCTTTTGCTGGCGTGGTCCTGGGAGGAGCCTCCTCTTCCATCTGAAGAGCATTTTTCAGTCACACACCACAGGGCTCTAGCAGAAGGCCGACTTCCTGGGTGGCAGCTCTGCCTTTTCTGTTTGTAGGATACCACAGGTTGGTTTTGGGGAGGGGGGCCCATGTTAGACCCATATTCAAAATGCAAACTTGTGAAAATAATGAATGTGGACCTACTACGTTTATAGTAATTTGTTTGCTGTTTCTTAGAAGTATTTGTAATGTCGTTTCTTTGAAATCCAGTTCCCCTTGTGCATGTAAACTCTGTTGATGTCTTGATTGCCTGGGATCGAAATGTCTACTTGTTAATGTTTGTAAACACATCTACACAGCCTGAGTGCAGAGGAGGCCTGGGTCTGAGGGTAGGGGTGGCAGAAGCTGCTGAGCAGCCCCATACAGGGTAATGGCTGCCAAGGCCAGTCCTCCTATGAGAGGGCCAGGCCAGGCTCTAGGAACACTTTTCACACTCGTGTGGAATTCACTGTGTTTGTTAATAAACATTCAGCTCGTGTAGTTAGACTTCAAGAGTCCCTAAGTGGCTGTAATGACCTGGCTGTAGAGTCATCTGACCGCCTCTAACTTCACAAGGGAGAAGGAGAAGCAAGATCAACAGCCCAAGGCTGATTCCTGTGAGGCAGAGGACAGATGCCTCCTCTCCGCCATCTTTACCAATTCTGACACCAGCCGTCCCTCCCTCAACACTCTCTACTTTTCTGCTGGGTTCGATAATTCATTGCAGTGGCCACACAGAACTCATATACAATGCTCATGATTATGGGGTTTATTAGGGAAGTAACAGGTTACAATTCAGGTTCAGGAGTGCTCAGGATACAGTTCTTCCATCAAGACAGCCTCTTCTCAGCCGTGCTCACAGGTACGCCTCTCTGTGGCCGCTTCGCCTCTGCCTTGCTCAGCAAGTGTTACAGAGCTCTTTTAGGTCTCCCCCACTCGGCAGTAAGCTTTGGCCCAAAGGTGCTCAGCTCTTGCTCTGAGGGTCAGCAAACCTAGGTCCACCAAGTGCCTGGAGGCACCCTACTCCTCCAGCAAGTCTCCAAAGGACATGCTCCGCTCTTGGCTCTTCTTCCTTGGTGGAGGTGGGATCCTCTCTCTGCCCTGGAATTGGCTCTCTTTTAAGCCTATCAGGATGGCAAAACTGACCAGTCGCCTTGGTGGGCCACAGTTACTTTATTTGCACAGTCCCACCCAATCACTTGGGTGGGAGTTACAAGACCATGGTGAGAAAGGCCATACAAAAGCAATACATTGCACCACAGTGGTGCAAACAGCTAAGCACTCAACTACTAACCGGAAGGTTGGTGGTTTGAACCTGCCCAGAGGTGCCTCGAAAGACAGGCCTGGTGATCTGCTTCCAAAAGGTCACAGCCTTGAAAACCCTACGGAGCACTTCTGCCTTGCCGTAGTCAACTCAACGGCAACTGATTTAGTTGAACTTCACAGTGGGCCTGACTTTCCAGGTGCACGTGAGTGGGCATATCGCGGTCACTCACCTACAGGCCTCAGTTAGGAATCTAATTCCATCTCTTTATTTTACAGATGAGGAAACTGAGGTCCAAAGAAGTTATGCCACTTGGTTAAGGTCCCAAAGCTGGTCAGAACCAGGTCTCGGATCAGAAACCTGGCTCCGGGCTGCTCCTGGCTTTCTGTTCTCCTAAGGATCACGTTCCTGACAGAAGAGGTTTGCTCTCCATTTGTTGTTTTTCTTTTATCAGAAGGGGCCTATCATAATAACAGGAATAGAACTCTGTAATTTAGAATTTAGAGAATCCCTGTCTTCCTGTCATTCTCTCTTTGGTCCTTTATTAAACTTCCACACAGTTGGCCAGAGACATCCCCAGGGGAGAAGGGCTTGACCTCTGCCCCTCAGACCTTGCGCTGTGGTGAGCACTGAACCAGATTGGGCCCTGTGTACTGGCCCGCAGCCTGTCTGTGGTGTTCTATGGGAAAGCTGAAGTGCCCGGTGGTCACCCCACAGTAACCGTGATCATCGCAGATTAAATCAAGGTCATCATACTGTATTTACTGACACAGAACACAGAGAAATACCTGGAAGAGGCTCAACCTACAAGAGTTGGTACAAATCAATTTTTAGTCAGATGCGAGTTAAACCCAAGCTTTTGCTTTGACAGTCTTCAAGATTGAGATTTTAGTATGGGAGAGTGTATTTTCCTAAATGGCCTCAATAACATCTCCCATCCTACATGTTCTTACAGTGCGACTTTGACCAAGAGGTAGGCATCGCTGTCCCTTTCTTTTGGGTCTGGGCTGGGTCTGTGACTGCCTTACCATAGAGTATGGCAGAAGTGATGCTTGGTGACTTCCAGGCTAGGTCTTAAAAAGGGCACAGTTTCTGCGTGGCCTCTCTTTTTGGGACACCTGCTCTGGAGAAAGCCGGCTACTATGCTGTGAGGAAGCCCAGACTCGACAGAGACACCCCCTGGAGAGGGCCTCTTGGAGTGGTTCTGAGGCCTCAGTCAGCAGCCCCTGATGTGTGAGCAAACGGCCCTTCTGAGGATTCTAGCATTCGTGCCTCCCATCCAAGGTCCCAGACTGTGTGGAGCAGAGCTGTGCCACGCGTGCTGTACCCTGTCCAGATTGCTGGCCCACGGAATCTGTGGGTGTGACAAGTGGGTGTCTCATGCCGCTACATTTTGGGGTAATTTATGATGCCGCCTAGTTACTGGAATCCCTAGTGTTTTCATTCAGCAGTATTGGAGATGGCCTCTTATCACATGCTAGAGATAGAAAGCGTAAGAAATTCAGACTTTTATTTGATAATCAGACTTTTTTAAATTTCTTTTTTAAATATCAGCTTCATTGAGATATAATTCCTATACCATAAAATTCACCGTCAGTGTTTAATTCAGTGGTTTGCAGTATACTCAGAGTTGTGCGTCGTCACCAGTGTTGAAGTGTAGAACACTTCCATCACTCCAAAACCATAGTCGGATTCTTAGTCTAACTTATTGGAGTCCCTGGGTGGCGTACATGGTTAAGTGCTTGGCCATGAAAGTGAAAGGTTGGCAGTTGGAGCCCACCCAGAGGTGCCTTGGAAGAAAGGCCTGGAGATCTGCTTTCATAAAGATTACAGCCAAGAAGCCCTGTGGGGCAGTTCTACTCTGCACACATGGTCACCATGAGTTTGAATTGACTCGACAGCAACTAACAAGAAGAAGAAGAAGAAGTCTAATCTACTCAACAGACAAATACGAAGAGGAGATTAGGACTGCTGTGTGTGCATATGTCGCGGTGGTGCTGGGTGCCTAAGACCTAGTGGGCACTCCGTTGCTGTTTGCTGGGTGCGTGGCTTCTTCACCTTGAAGAGAGAAGCTGAGAAGCTGTGCGTGAAGCTGGGCTGGCTGTAGTGCTGATGAATGTCTGCGTGTGAACGTGGACGGAAGCTCATGTCAAATATTTGATACGATGTGAGCTTTCAGTAAGGGCAGAGACTATGCTGCAGGCAGGAAGGGCGTCTCTGGAAGCTCTGTCTTGGATCAGAACACAGTGCTGGGACATCCGGTGAGCGAGGAGCGAGTTCAGTGCAGAGCAAGACACGTACTGCATTCTCCCCTGCCCCCTCCGCCCCCAAGCACACACTTCTCTGCCCTCCCAGCCACACTCTTTCATTCCTTTACATGCACTCATGAAAGTTGGCAGCCTGGGCAGGAGCAGAGGCATGGCCGGAAGAGGAAGGGGCTGCTAACAGCCTGGACCAGGTGTAAGAGGCCAGGTCCTAAGTGTCGTAGGCTTTGTGGGCCAGTGGGTGTCCCTGCTGTTGTGGACAGTATGTAACGGAATAGGCATGGCTGTGGTTCAGTAAAACTTTAGTTACAAAACCAGATGTGGGACTTTGTTTGCCCTTGGCCTGGACGAACACACTTGTGCCACCTGCCTGGTCTTTGTTACCGACACAGTGTTGCCACCTGTGCCTCCTGTCTCCTGCTCAGCTGCTGTCTATACCAATTGACGAGGTAGGGACATATGCCGGTGGTGCCACCCTAATTCTGGGGCCTTTACTGTGGGTGTCCTTGTGGTACTTCATCCCTGCCTGTCACCCCGCTAGACTGAGAGCTCAAGGGCAGGAAGATGTTTCTCAGTGCCGTATCAGCACATGACGGGAGCCCTGTCACTGGTTGGATAACTTGGGAGTGATGGGGTCGTGGCAGATTTGGGGATGGCGGGTAAACATGACAGGGAAGGAAGAAGACCAGGGGGCAGATCTAGTAGCATCTGGGCCCTGTTGCTCAGCAGGCACGTGGTAAAATGTGGGAAAATCCAGAACATGAGAAGGAGATCAAGAGCACAGTCTTCAGAAGTTTCTCTTTGGCCTGTATAGAAAACCCAGGATAAATGTGTTTGTACTTGTGAGAGAGGATTGAATTTCCCCTCTTAAGGGAGAACTTCATCAAAAGACTCTTAGAAGTAACCTTTCAGATAGAGAAAGTTTTTTGCTTTTAGATCGTGGAGGAGACAGATTTTTCTTGATCTGAGGAATCCAGTAATCTAGATGTTCTCTGCCTAAGGGCTTAACTTAATCAGGCCTCTGAGGCAGGTGCCTCAGCAAATAGTTTGCCCTCACGTTCCTAGGTAGTTTAGATGAGAGAAAACCCCGAAGGAAGAAACCTAGGTATTCTTTGTTCCCTGCTGTTCAGGTCAAGATGAGGGCTCACCATTAATTTACGGCAAGTGAAATGGGCGCTGGTATTAGAAGTCTGTGATAAACTAAAAATGAATTCTGCAATGTAATCTCGTTAAAATTGTTCTTTGGTTTAGGAGGAAGAATTAATTGAAGGAGGACAGTATCTTTACTTGTCAAAAACAGACATGGTATTCAATTAAAAATAATAAATTGTCATGCTTCGATGAGCCCTCATATGTTACAAGATGGCATTTCGCAGGCAGATTCATTAGATAGAATTCTTTTGCAAGGGTCTTTAGACCGTCAGATTGGGGTAAGTAGCCTTCTGAGGTGCCCCCACGCAGCTTGTGCTCAGCTGTGGAACATCTCCGTAAGGAAGCCAACGCTGCTGTCTTAGAGGTTCCCACTGTAGCACTGAAACGGTCCCACAGAGCACAACAGACTCAGTTGAAACATTGTGCAAAGAAAGGCTTGCGATGGGGCTTGGGTTACTTTCTGGTTAGGAGGAGATGCCTCTTGGACTACTGAAGACAGATTGTAAAATGCTGAAACTTCAAGAACTAATCTAATTTGGTTCCTCTTCCCCAACCCACTGGGTCACTGATGGGGAAACCCAGCCCCAGGGCGTGGGGGTGAGTGTCGGAGCTGGGTCTGTATAGGCTTCCTGTCCTGCCCCCTTGGCGTGGCTGTCCAGCCCTTCCTCCCTCCTTACTGCGGTCCATCTGCTGGCCTTCTTGATGACCCTCTACTGCCTTTCTTGATGGCCTCCTCTCATCCCCAGCCAGGGGGTGCCTTGCCCAGAGTCTGGGAATCTTTCTTAGTTAAGACCCTTAACTCAGAATCCACAGTTCCTAGAACATTCCTGTTTTTTCTGAGCTGGGCTTCTGAAAATGTCTAAAAGTGATGAATGGTTTTATCATTCATCTATATGTGTGGTGTGGTTTATTACAACTTTGAAACTTCAAATCTTGTAAAGCAGATTCACTCCCTGCTTTCAAATTTACTCAATTAAAAACTCTGTGGACGGTATAATATTAACTTAGAACAAGGCTTTCAATGTATGAGTTATTGAAAAAACCGCTCTTATATCACCTTTAATAAAGATAATTTTGAAATATAATTTAAGGCCTGGAAGACATTTGGTAGGCAGGTAGAATCTCCTTAGAAGCAGGGATAGAGAGACTACGTCTCACATACTTTGGTTGTGTTATCAGGAGGGACCAGTCCCTGGAGAAGGACACCATGCTTGGTAAAGTAGAGGGTCATCAAAAAAAAGGAAGACCCTCAATGAGATGGACTGACACAGTGGCTGCAACAATGGGCTCAGACATGGCAACGACTGTGAGGATGGTGCAGGACCGGGCAGGGTTTCGTTCTGTTGTGCACGGTGTCACTATGAGTTGGAACTGACTCAGCGGCACCTAACAACAACAGTATTGTCCAACAAAAAGTTCAATACCCTAGAATTGTAATGGGGTTTATTTTCTATACAACCTATAAAATGAGATGTTGAATTGATGTTTAATACTGAACCACTTTTTAAGCATTTGATTTTTGAATGGACTTTACCTATTTTATAATTTAAAAATCTGAGAAATACAGAAAATAGTTAACTTCTACTTACCCTTCAGTTTACACATCCCCTCCTCAGGAAGGCCATCCCTGTACCCCACTTGTGTGGGTGTCACTGCTGCGTCCACCATGTACTTCCCCTTCGGTAGTTTTCAGTGGACACGCACACACACGTAACTGCCTGTGTTATATCCTTGTTCCCGTAGATGGTCATGTGTGCGAGGACGAGGCCTTGTCCGTCTTTTCCCCTTCTCCTTGCAGGGTGCGTGGCCCACCATAGACACGTGAATGACTGAACAGAAGTGCTGGAGTTACCCTGTTAGGTAGTTGTGATGATCTACATTGACCCTTCTTGCAGGATTGTCTCAGAATTTGCCAGGTGTTTGCTGATCCAACTCAGAAAATTTTTTTCCATTACTGATTTACTACTTTTTCATGTTATTTACTATTTCTATTTTTTCCCACCT